CCCTCCTCCTCCACCGACATCCCATCACCCACATTCACCCGCTGTGGTAAGTAGTCATTCCATTCTTCCAGTTGCCCAGGAAAACCCTTGTGCGTTAATTATGAACTGCTCTGTAACATCTCACCAGTAATCAGACACCTTGGAAATGTATGTATGGACTCCTGGCTCCTTGGGTGAAGAATCTGAACCTGGCCTGCCTGGCCTTGCTTTAGGACCCTCTCTGGTTGCAGTCCCACCCTTAGCAGGAGCAAGGACTCATCTCAAGGCTCAGCCATGGCTAGAGCTGCAGACAGCTCCATGGTTGTTGGCATGACTCCATTCTTCCTATTACTGGACTGAAAGCCTCAATTCCTCCCTGGCCATTGCCAGGGGCTGCCCACCCCCGTTTCCTGCCACACAGACTCCCCTAAGGCAGCTTATTTCGTTGAAAAGTGCAAGCTAGGCTGGAGAGATGGCTCAGTGGTTAAGAGCACTCGCCACTCTTCCAGAGGACTCAGGCTCAGTTCCCAGCACCCTATACTGGGTGGCCCACAAAGGCCTGTAATTCCAGCTCTGGATCATCCAGTGCCCTCTTCTGCCTCTCCAAGCACCTGAACATATGTGACCACGTTCACACACATGCACATGAATAGAAATAGATCTTAGGAAGGGGGAGGAGTGAGCCAAGAAAGTGAGTGAACTTGCCACCAAGAAGGTAAGTGCCAATTTTGCAATGGACGTGGGACCCCACTGACTTACCATAAGCTGCTCATGACAAGCAAGTCACTGAGCCCGCTGCCAGCTCAGCAGATGGAGAGCCACGCAAGGACCTCTCTGAGCTATGCCACCACTGGCTGCCGGGCTCCATGGCCTTGCCTTCTCTCCTCCTCTTGCAACCTTTCACATTTGTGCTACCTTCAAAACCAGCTGATCCAGCACCTCTGGGTGTTTACTGCTTGTTCCTGCCCTTGCCATCTGAACACCCTCTTAAAGTCACATCTGCCCCTCACCTTATCCACCTCTCCACCTTCCCTTATTTTATAGCACTCACCACGTCTATCCGTAGTCTAGACATTCTGTCTTTTAAGTGCCTGACTTCTCATCTTAGCATGTAGGGTATTTTTTTTTTTTTGGCTTTTTTTTTTTTTTTTTTTTGAAACAGGGTTTGTGTAGCCCTGGCTGTCCTGGAACTCACTCTGCAGACCAGGCTGGCCTTGAACTCAAAAGATCCACCTGTCTCTGCCTCCTGAGAGCTGGGATTAAAGGCATGTGCCAGCACCTCCTGGCTTGAATGTAAATTCTAAAGGACACAGATTTTACCTCTTTTGTTTACTGGTGTGCTCCTCATTTGAGAGAAGGCTGCTGGGCACGCACTACCATACATGGAAACGTGCTCTCTCTCTCCTTCTCTCTCTCCCTCTCCCTCCCTCTCTCTCCCCCTCTCTCTCCCACCCTCCCTCTCTCTCTCTAACACCAATACAATGAAGAAAACTTATACAAGACTTGTGAAGCCTCCATAAGTATGGACTCCACTTGCTCCACAGGTCTAACCCCAAAGCCAGAACCTCACCCTCCAAATCAAGGGTGGTCTCTGGTTTCACCTTGGAAACCACACTACCTGGGTCTCCTTCACTAAAGCTGCACAGAACACCCTGCCAAGATGCCTGAGGCTCTGAAGACACTATCCATCAACAGACAGACGATGGTCAGGAATGATGACAGCCAGGGACGGCAGCCCAGGACAGAAGGAACTGGGTGTGGTTTTCTCCTTAATGGCCAATGGCTGAGAAAGTAAATGGGGCTCTTTGTGAAAGAAGCTAGTCAAACTTTTCCATAGCAGCGGCCCCTCAGCAGACAGAAATGGCCGGCCAGCTCTGAGGACTCAACTTGTGGTGTCTGAGGCTGGCCAGGAAGCTGAGAGTGTGTCTACTCGCTTAAATTTTATTTTTAAACTCCTTGGTAACATAGCTGCATTTGTTTTAATACAAAAACAATGTTTTGCTTTTTTTGTTTTGAGATAGCCTACTATGGGGACCTAGTATGTGGCTTTGAAATTTTTATATGTATCTATTTGTGTGCATGTTCGTGTGTGCACGTGCGCCTAAGTGTGGAAACGTTCATGCCGCAACACATGTGCGGAGGTCAGAAGATCACCTGCAAGAATCAGTTTTTTTCCTACCAGAATGTGGTCCTGGGGATCAAACTAGGCTGTCAGGCTGGGTAGCAAGCACCTTTATGCCCACCCCCAGGATGGCGCTAAACATTTGGTGCTGCCACCTCCACTGCCTGGGTACCAGGATTGCAGGCTTGGTGTCAGGCACAGTGATAATGTTTTAAGTTTTCTATACAATCTTCCTGAAGGTTTCTGCTTCTCCTCCTCCTCCTCCTCCTCCTCGTCCTCCTGTTCCTCCTTCTTCCTCTCCTCCTTCTACTTCTACTCCTCCACTTCCTCCTCCTTCTGTTCCTCCTCTTCTTTCTCCTCCTTCTCCTCCTCCTTCTCTTCCTCCTGCTTCTCCTCTTCCTCCTCTCCCTCCTCCCCCCCACCCCGTTTCTCAGTTAATGATTATGCTGCTGAGACACCAAGAGCTTTCCGGGGGTCTGGACGAGGCTGGTGGCAGCGTGTTCTCTATAGCAGGGTCGGCACCCAGAGCTCCTTGTCTCTTCAAGCACAGATTCACCGAAAGCCCTCATTTAGACTTACTTACCTAGGCACATCACCTGCTATTTTGGGTGCATCTGAAGAGGGAAGTATGACTAAGAGAATTAACGAAGTCATCTCCGACCCTTCTCAGTGGTTTTTAGCGCGGTCTTGTTAGCGGCCTTGGTATTTTTCCATACATCGTCATCCTCGTGCCATCCATGACACTGAAGGAGGCGCCTGGCTACCTGTGCTTCCTGGGGTAGGGGTTTCTCAAAAACGTCTGGGGCTCCTTGGGCCCTGTGTCATAGTGCACACTTTCAGTCTTAGCACTCGGGAGGCAGAGGCAGGACGATCTCTGTGAGTTCAAGGTCAGCCTGCTCTATGCAGCAAGGACAACCAGGACTACATGGAGTCTCAATAAAATAAAAGTTTGTTGCTGGAGTTTTCCAGACTTGACAGAAGATATCAAACAATGGCAACTCTGTTATAAGTTGCTTCGATGACCGTAAGTCAAAGATTGTAAGACATTTTGAAAACACGGCTGCTGAAAACATGGGGTGTGCGCATGTGTGTGTTGTGTACATCTTAAAATCATGAAAGTGGCTTAATATGAGTACATTCTCATAAATGCAGCAACCCAAACTTACCAGATTCCCAGGGCCCAAGACTGCATCTAACTGTAAGATAAAGAACCCTATAAAGGGATGGAAGAGATGGCTTAGGAGTCACAAGCACTGGCTGCTCTTCCAGATGACGTGGGGTCAATTTCCAGCACTCACAGGACACCCACAACCTGTAGGTTGGTTCCAGGGGACTGAATCTGCCTTCTGGCTTCCACAGGCACTGCACGCATGTGGGACACAGACATACATGCAGGCAAAACACTCTACATGTAACATAAATAAACAAATCTTTTAAAACCAACAAATTCAGCCAGCTGTGCAACTCCACCAACTTGTCACTCACTGGGGCGCAGTGTAGACTGGGTGCTTCGTCTTGACTGAGATGCCTCCACCGAGGCGGGAGTGTGCAGGCCACCATCCAAGAGGCTGTGGGGAGGTATTTCCCCAAGTTTGTCTGATGGTGAATTTGGAGGAGGGAGCAAGCTCAGCTGGTTCTTGTAGGTCAGCCCTTCCCTGATTCTCGGGGTGCTCTTGCTTATGCCTCCAGGCCTCCCCCCGCCGGGTGTTGCCCCCCTCTGCCCCCCTGGCTAGTGCTGAGGCCCTCACCACGTGAACCAGTGAAAAGGCAGAAGCAAGGATCCCGGGAAACCGGAGTGAACCCTGGTGTGGCTCTGAAATGAGACCAGAGAATGTGTGGGGCTTATTCGTTTGTTTGTGTGGTCTCACTTCGAAGTCCTGGAATTCCATATGTAGACCAAGCTGACCTTGAACTCACATAGATCCATCTACATTTACCTCCTGAGTTCTGAGATTAAACGTATGTGCTACCGTGTCCCGCTAGGAATGTGTTCATCAGAACTGGCCCTTTCCAGGTGGTTCTGACAACGAGAGGTCGCCTCTAACAGCTCTGAAATACGTAATGGTAGAAAAGTGAACTCAAAAGGGGTGTGTATCCAAGGATGGAACACAGACTGTGGACAGGGTGGATGAAAAGGGAGTGGCCGTCTCTGAGGAGTATTTTGGTTTGGTTTGTTTGTTTCTGGTCACTGTTCAGAAAGCAGTGTTCTTTAGAAAATGTGACATTCAGAGTCCACTGTGGAGCAAGCCTCGCAGATACTTTTAACTACTCACAGTCCTGCTGGCCTTACAAAGTGGTCCTTTAGTTATCAATTGTGGTTTCTAAATATAAGGGGTTTTGGTTTTGGTTTTAGTTTTTTTGGTTTGTTTCTTTTCTTTTCTTTTTTTCTTTCTTTTTTTTTTTTTTTTTTTTTTTTTTTTTTTTTTTTTTTTTTT